ACCTCTAATACCATTAACTCACAAACATCCCACTCTCCCCACCTCTAATATCATCAATTCACAGACACTTACCTTCCTTCCTTCCCCCCCCCCCGCATCCCCCTCCTGTTCTGAAATGTGATTTGTCCTTTTCATATGTGTTCATTTTTTTAATTGTATCCTTTGGTATATATGTTTGTGACTATTTTCTTCCACTGTTTGATCTGGGGAAGTGGGTCTGGCCCACGAAAGCTCATCATCTAATAAACCATCTTGTTAGTCTTTAAAGTGCTACATTGTCCTGCATTTTGCTTCAACTACCCCAGACTAACACGGCTACATTTCTATCACTTACGTACAGTGTGTGACATGAGGGCAGATGATTGTGTGATGTAGTAAACAAGCATTAAAGGTAAATGTGGTGTATCTTGCAGTGTCATCATGAGCTTTGCTAAGTTTCTCTCTGCAAACACTGAGTAAAGCTATATTGCAGAGAACCAGTAACCATGGTAAAGGAGTGTTCCTGAAATAATATGCATGGTGGATTAAGTTGCATATCAGTCACTTTGTGTGAGATACGCGAGGCCATACTGGAGTGCACTATTTTGCCACTGAATAACAGAGTGCCAAGACTGAAGTGTGTATTGTTTGGGTTTTGGGGCCTCATGTTGTTGTGGCCTGTCTTCTGAGCAGGTTATTGCATATTTTGACCATTGTCACTGTCTTAATATATGGTCATGAATCATGATGTGACAATTCTATCCAATGTGAAGCCTAGCTAGACACGGTATGAATCACGCTTTATTTGCTGACCATGGAGAACTATACTAGGCTCTCTGCCTTCTTGTGTATGATTATAGAACCATAGAACTGGAAGGAACCTTGAGAAGTCATCAAGTCCAGTCCCTTGCCCTCATGCAAGACCAAGCACCATCTAGATCATCCCTGTTAGATGTCTGTCTAACCTGCTCTTAAATATCTCCAGTGATGGAGATTCCACAACCTCCTTAGGCAATTTATTCCAGTGTTTAACCACCCTGACAGGAAGTTTTTCCTAATGACTAACCTAAACCTCACTTGCTGCAATTTAAGCCCATTGCTTCTTGTCCTATCATTAGAGGCCAAGGAGAACAATTTTTTTTCTCCCTCTTCCTTGTAACACCCTTTTAGATACTTGAAAACTGCTATCATATCCCATCTCAGTCTTCTCTTTTCTAAATTAAACCAGCCCAATTCTTTCAGTCTTCCCTCATAGGTCATGTTATTTTAGACCTTTAATCATTTTTGTTGCTCTAAAGATATAAGTGGAAAACACTCAAAAACATACTTTTACTTACACTTAGTAACAGATGCCACCGATGGCAGCTATCAGAGACTGTCACATCTGTGGTTCGGATACATTTTCAGGTATATCAAAGGAGTGTGACTTGACAATTTTTGAGTGTGGGATAGCTAGATGGGGTAGGGAGAAACAATGCTCTTTTCAGCAATATTGTGAGGGGAAGGAATATGTGCAATTACTGATTTTAGTAAAATTTAATCCATCGGGGTAATGTACAGAACATTGCCCAAATCCATTGAGAAAACAAAATGTTCTGATGCTGCTTATTGGAGTAACTACTGTTCAATGAGTCACAAATTAAATTTAATTGCCGTTTTTTCTTGTGCAAAATCATATTTAAATGACTGAGATCTGCACCATTGATTCAATGGGAACTTGCGTATAGTAATGTTGCATGATTCTGGCATATTGCACAAGATTAACGTGGCTGCTGCCACAGCAGAGTCTGAGATAAAAGCAGGTGTGGGTAGAGGTGCTAGATGAGTTAATTACATAGATTAGCACTAATTCTCAACCCTGTAGTCAAATAACATTAAAGCTTGCTGTAAACCTCCATTGTCAAGAAAATCTGAGTTTGTAGGATGAGACCTTTTATTTTAATAAAATAAGTGGGTGAAATCTCTACTTTAAACTCCACAGCAGAGTCTGAGATAAAAGCAGGTGTGGGTAGAGGTGCTAGATGAGTTAATTACATAGATTAGCACTAATTCTCAACCCTGTAGTCAAATAACATTAAAGCTTGCTGTAAACCTCCATTGTCAAGAAAATCTGAGTTTGTAGGATGAGACCTTTTATTTTAATAAAATAAGTGGGTGAAATCTCTACTTTAAACTGTTTATTATCAC